CAATTTCAATCCACGATGCTCAAGTCCATTGGAAAAGAAAAGAAAAAATAAGTTCAGGACAATTCCATTATCAATTGTAAAACGTCAACTCACCTTCAACAATCTTGCATCAACATATATGGGAAGGGAGAGAAAAGAAAATACAATTAGACTTTGGTGGGCACCCCTAGTGCTACATACAAACAGCAGCTAAGCTAAGCAATTACAACAAAACAAGCTAAGAATGGTAGGCTATCCCTCTCGTTTTGATTAAGAACGTGGAAAGCCGTAGCAAATTAGCTGCTGCTCTGAAAATAAGTAGGTGTTTGCTTCTGGTTCTGCTCATGCTGCTGCAGAGGGATAGAAATGGAGGCAGCTTAGGAACCATCTGTACACTGTCCGATGACCGAGTCTACAGAAAGCTTTGTTAAAGATCCATCTTCTTTTTCCTCCAGGGGTCTGGAGGAAACATCAAGAATGTTTTTTACAAGTCTGACGGCACAGAAGCCCTGGCAAGCCTCAGAATAGTTAAGTAGTGTAATCCAAAGAGAAGTCTTACTAGAAGGCCTATTCACTGCGGTCAAACAAATAACGCGGCAAGGCAGAAGTCCACTTGCTCCAGATACTGACCTTGACCGACGCTGCAGAGACCAGCACACAGTGCTTCAGACCGAGGGCACGGCCAGGAACAGGCCAACGACACTCCCTGAGCTGTGACAAAGCAAACCTCAGCCAACAGGTGGGAAGAAACGCATGCGCAGGATAATCCACTGCTTTCGTGACAAAGCAGCTTCACTACGCGAGTCCTCCATGGTCCTGAGCAATCTCGACAGTTTAGCTCAGTGCTCTCATCACAGTTCTGGATTATTACCTCGCCTTAAAAGGAGCAAATTTCTGCAAATGGTGTAGGCCCTTGTCTGCTCTATGCGGACCATGAACATTGCTGTCCCAGAAAAAGGATGGTAGGGGGCCACTGTCAAGGTGTAGACATAGTGTTACGGCCTCAAAGAGAAAATAAAATCATGTCGAATGCCAGATTTCTGGAGTTGGTAGTTTCCAGGTAATTCGCCTTCTCTAAACAAGAGTTGTAGGGACTTTGGGCAAGACATGGCAAGAGCACCAATGGACACACAAGGAAATAATCCAAAAGTGTAAAATAAATCCATAGCTATTCTATGGTCCTCCTAAAAACACGGATCAGTATAGACCTGAGCACTGCTGAGTTTCCTCTGGCTCCCATAGAATTCACCATCTGTACTGAAGTCAAAAACAAAGGACTTAGGAGAGGTGAAGAGGACTTGCACTAATGTTAGGTTTGAGCTCAGTGCATATCCCTGTGAGTTAAAAAGTCATCTTACCAAAGCTTGGATGACCTTTGAAATCTCCTCATCACAAAATCTCATTATGGATTTTGGGATCTCCCCCCTTTTTTTTTTTTTTTTTAATGTCTGTGTCAGTAGAAATGTCAAAACTAATTAACCTATTCTCAGATTAAGAAACACTGAGACCCCCCAGTGGGATGGGATGGAATGGCACGGCACTGGCAACCAATCACAACCTTGAGTTAAAGGAAGCCTGATGGACTTTTTTTCCTCTTAAACTTTCACTCTGTATTTCTTAACTCAAAAATCTTCAGGCCCAAAGATACATTTACGCACAGTTTTAAGCAACATAATATGCCACTCATCAATTTTCTCCCATTTTTTCTTTTTAAAACTGGCACTGGATTAAAAAATGTAAGGAAGTCTAATGAAAACATTGCCCTGATACTTGTTGAAGATGGTCACCTGACTAATAAGGATGAAGAAAAAGCAGAGGCATCAAACGCTTTCTTTTTTTGCCTCAGAAGAAATAAAATAAGCTTTATAGCAACTTTCAAACCGCTACGTGCCTGGCCCTCCCCTCAGCATTCCTCCTCACCCTCTCTCCAGCACGGAATTTCACTCGCAACATCAGCAGCTTACAGCAGAAAAACACCCCAAGGCCCTGCCGTCATTTAAACCTGATACTTGTTGAAGATGGTCACCTGACTAATAAGGATGAAGAAAAAGCAGAGGCATCAAACGCTTTCTTTTTTGCCTCAGAAGAAATAAAATAAGCTTTACAGTGACTTTCAAACCGCTATGTGCCTGGCCCTCCCCTCAGCATTCCTCCTCACCCTCTCTCCAGCACGGAATTTCACTCGCAACATCAGCAGCTTACAGCAGAAAAACACCCCAAGGCCCTGCCGTCATTTAAACCAACCCCCTCTGTCGCCAGCTCCCAGGCTCCCCCCACTCCTCCCAGTTGGGAGCAGGGTTGCTCCCCAATATCATCCCCTCCTTCCTCCCAGCCCAGACAGCACCTTTCTCCTTTTGCCCACACAACACACACCGGCCAAAAGAACTAAAAAGTTTAGGCATTTTAGATTTTTTTCTCCTCTCCCAAATCAATTAATGCAGTCTGATTAAAAGAATGAGCCCTTCTGATTGATCAAATTGATTAGCTTTATTTCCACCTGTTAAAAGAACTGTTTGCCTACCAGCAGAGTCCAACATGGATGGGACAGACAGACATGAATACAATTAAATACAGGAAAAATTGAACTATATACAACAAGACATACATTTACATAATGAAAAAATCTTTATATTATCTATCACTTCTTGCCAATGTGAAACATCACTGGAAATCAAATATTTTGGGTCTTTTTTGTTTGTTCCCCTCCCACCCCCCCAAAAAAAACCCCAGGCGTGTAACACAATGTAGTATTTTTCCATGTACTGAGAGCTTATAATTTTATTTTGAGATGCACAAAGTTTGTGGCACTTCACAGGGTACATAAAAGCTAAAAACTTTGTTAAATGTTTTATAGTTTGTGGTATCTAACTTTCAATTAGATATATTCATTGAGACACAAACTATAAAGTGATATTTACACAGAGGGAGTTGTGCAAAGTCATTTTAGGCTATGGCTAGTACACTGTGAAAGATGCAGGGATACGCCACTCATCCCCAGAGGTAATCCCTTAAATCCTTACTGTCCCTCTCGTACAGTAGCCACCCAAGGAAAACTGGCCATAATTTTTCTTCTTTTTTCTTTGTTAAGCTACCGGGAGAAAGCTGTTTCTGTAGCCCTTAAATATCTTAACAGTTTTAATGCTGGGCTGCTTCTCTTCACTCAACTAATTCTTTTAGCAATCTCTAGTATTGTTTCATTGTTTCTATGGTTTTTTGGGCCACAAATGCCAGCCGTTGTTGTCACCACATTGTCCTAAGACTGCTGTAGTCCTTGCTTGTAGTTCATATTACCAATGGGAGCACACAGTAACTAAAGGTGTGTCACTTTTTAGCAGTTACCATACTGTCACCCTGCAGAAACTGCTTTTTCCTGATAAGAGGGCTGAGCCAGAGCTATTCCAAACCAGGGCGGGGAAGGTATTGCATTTCTTAAGCCAGCCTTTACGGAACAAAACTTTGTATTACTACATCCAGAAACATCCCTAAGCATCCTAATAAGAAAACCTTTACTTTTGGGTTGCAATCTTCAATACAGAACTTAAAACAGGTTATAGTGAAGACACATCAGACGTCAGCGTTAACTAAACACATCCTACAATTGTGCTGCATCAGAGCACAGGATGGTGCTCCTAACGGTTTATCATAAGCCACCAACTTCCAAAAGGCAACTGAGTTGAATTTTGGATATTTTTTTTTTTATAGAGCAAATTTCAGTTTTCATAAATGTGGCTACTGCATATGTGGATCATAAAATACTGGTGTTAATCATCTCATCCACATTTAATTACTGTCCTCCTGTTTGTATCAGCTTATCTGGGACTCCACATCAGCCTGCAGATTTTCACTGGAACAGGTTTAAAGCAGACATAACTCAGTCCTGGATAAAAAAGAAGTGACTGGGTAACAGTACATAAACCTATGCATTCCTGCCTTGCTTCAATAGAGGAATTCTCTCTCCTAGGACATGTATCTGACATCCGTTCTTTTTTTAAAAAGCACGTTTAAAGAAAGCTGGACAACCTCAGGGCAAGGGGAGACTAAACTTATCTCAAAAAGCTGCCAAGTCAAGATTGCTACCAAACCTCTTTTAAAGCCTCCACTTCCCAAATCCATGGCAATACAATTATTTAATTTTTAACCTTATGCACCAGGCTACTATCAGTCAGATGTTAGTATAAAAACTGAAGAGAACAGTGCAGTGAACGCACAGAACTTTAAGCATTACGCTGAGTACACTTGATACAGTAAGAAGATTTGTAGGTAGTTTGGTATTCAGCCGACGAGGACAGCATCCAAGCTTCTGCTTACTCATCACTAGCAAGCCTAGAGAAGACTATTTTCTCCTTAGTTATCAGGAGAGAGCGCTACAGAACAGTAGTAAACCCAAGAGACCATCACATCACACTAGAAAATTAAGTTCAGTGTTGCGATTCAAATACAGGAATTCTTGGTAGTTAAAACATTTAAAGAAGTATTTTCACATTGTACACGTTGTGATTTGTCTATGTACTTTAGATCTCATGGAGTTCATAAAGACATCTACATGTTCAAGCCTTCTGCTTAAAAAACCTGATTGCGGGTCAAGAGCAGGCTATTTTATTGCATTACCCTGGTTGTCAGTTTAGTATTGATTTATGATAAAACAATCCATCGGTACAGAACTTATGCAACTTGGGCAAAGATGGTATAGCAGAAAGCAATATAGTCATGAGCTTCTTGTAGCCAAAAAAGAAAAGTGTAATGAAATGGCAAATTGCTCATCTGTATTTGGAAAGGTAACTATTCCATATCTGTATGCGATGGTGGGAATAATTTAAAGACTAAGAAATAACAAAATACTCAGACCCCTCTTATTTAAGCATTAAAAAAGTAGAAGGGAATGGATTAGCTGCTTCCTTTCTGACATAGGCTGCTGGTCTAGTTTAGAGACAGTCACAAATTTAACATTATAACCAGGGACATAACAAGAAGCAGCTTGGACCATAAAAAAAGCTGTCTATATATGTACAAGTTATTCTCCAAAAAAAATCAGTTTTATTTGGATGTGTGCACAACCTGCTGCTCTTTAAATCTTCAGAGCACCGAAAACATGACATTTTCCCCCAAAATCCAGATGAGTCTCTCCTGAGAAACAGAAGTACTCATATATAAATGGGATGATATTGTCTGTGAGTCAGTTTCTTCCTACAGGTTGGGCAAGAGTTGGCATTCCTAAGGGAATCACGGAGGCACTGACTGCAGAAGACATGGCCGCATTTGGTTGACACGATCAGTCGTCCGCTTTGTACAATCTGGAAGAAAAGAAACCACAACTGCTATTTGCAGTAAAGAATTCAACATTGCTGGTCTATTGGCACCTGGCAAATCGGACTTGGAGTATCTGGGGTCAGTACATTACTACTACATAACAAGGAACCCAAAGATCTTTCAGTGCCATCTTGTGAAGTGTTTCTCCCTCTGTGTACACCACTAAGAAACCATTTTGAGTTACAAGCTAGTTTCACATTAAATCCAAGGTCTGTACTTCAAGCCAGCTGTCTCTAGTAACCCGCATAACCCAAGAGACTTGCACAGCTCCCCCTCTGCCCCATTCTCCCTCTGACAAAAAAGAAACGATGACAACATGTGGATCCTTACCTCTGAGTAGCCATCCATGCAAATCGGACAGCTAACGGTACCAGACGGCCTTGTAGGAAAGAGAACAAAACCAGAAAGAACACGCATCCATTAATTTCACTGTGCATTGAGGGTTACCCTTACATAAAATGGTAATCATCTGACTGCACAGACTAGCCAGAACACATTTCATCTGAAGATCCCTGTGTACCTTTAACTCCCTCAAGTTTTTGCATTGACTAAGTAGTTAGGGTCTCCCTTACCTGAAGGAAACAGCATCTTGGTTTTCAGCAGGGGGAAGGTGCAGTTAGTCACCCTGCTCTGTTATTACAAGTAACAGCAGTCTCTAGCACTGTGCAGTACACGTATGGCAATATTAATCTTCAACAGGTCATAAATAAGCATTTTCTAACAAAACCATCTAGCTGTCCTTTCTAGAAGTGAAAGTGGTTGTCAGAAATGAGAACATCCCCTATTCTAACTTAGCAACATCCAAGCCTAGTAATGTACTCATACCAAGAACTCCTTCCTTAGAAAACATAGGGCAGGAACACACTAATGTGAGGAAATATCAAAAAATAAATTTCTAGTTCAGAGAAGGAAAGACCAACTCAGTAGCTGTTACCGCCCTGTGGTTACAGATGTACTTCTCCTGCTTTCAGCCTCCAGGACAGACGTCTTGCACACAGGCTTACTAACAGACATAGCTATTCTGCTTAAGGAACCTGTTATACTGTAAGTGCTGAATAATATTCTCTTTGAGAAAGAACTTCCTGCCACTTTTTTTTTTTCCCCCCACAGATTACTCTCTATTTTAAACAATCACAGTAAGTTGCTCTCATAAGTCTTTACCATAACCACTTGGCTTTATTATGTTACCACCCATGCTAAGCAACAGTTTGTAATTTATTCAACTGGACAGAAAGCACGAGATAACCTTCATCATGTAATCTTAAATACAAGCAGTAAGCACTACTAACTTCTACCCCTAGTTTCACACAGATAATTTAACTCCATTAATTCTCCAATTTTTACTACTCAAATTCTTTATGCAGCAGCTATAACACCAACTCAGTAATTAATTTCAATTGATGATAACCTTCACATAAGCAAGAGCAGCCTAACACTACAGAGTAACACGATAGACTGCTCTGTGGCAATCTCAGCATCAGTAACTTTTTGTCAGTGCTAAATGCTTCAGCACCGAGTTGTTTTAGCCTTACCTAAACAGACCAGTAAGGCACATTCTTTAACAGAGAAGCCCGAGATTGAAGGAACAAAACATTAATTTTTCGTATTAACTAATTAGTGGGATTTAGTCACCTACATACTTAACGACCAAAATTTAACAGAAATCTACAAATCCACTGGCAAAATGCACTACGTTTTAGAATGCTATAGACCCTTTAGGTGGCATTTTTAAGCCCTGACACCCAAAATTTCCATACCCAAGTTTTCTCTTACATTGCCTTCCAGTTATCTAAAAGGATCAAAGCACAGGTGCTTTATTAAAACATGTTTTTTTTCTCCCCCCAAACACTTCAAAAAATGTTTATACCACAACTCTTATGTTCTTAGTCTTCCCTGGTCACACGGACATCTGATTTCATTTAATTAGTCTAATACATTGTGTCATTAATATAATGGAATGCTGCTACAGCAGGAGTTTAACGTTTCTCTGCAGAATGGAGTCTTTACTGTGTGAGATCAGCATCTCACATGCAAACATATCAGAGCGCCATGGCATACATGGGACAGAACAAAAACTGGCCCTAACAGTATTACCTCCATAATCACCTTGCAAGTATACCTTAGAAGAACAGTTACTGGTCCAAGAGGAAAAAGGCAATCAACTGGACAGTGTGTAAAAAAGCAGTGAATGAGTGATAGTTTTTACCGGAATTTAACAGGCTTCTGCCTGCTGATCTCATGATACCAAGCCTCATCTACACCAATGAAAATATTTCTGTATCTAACCTGACTACTAGAGATTCACATCCAAAGTAAATGCAATACATTATGAGCTACAGTCTGTGACTAATCCTCCTTCCTTGCCATACCCCCAGATTCATCTTTACGGTTGTATGCAAAGTTGTACATCTGTTTTGGGCAGCCTTTTTATCCTACAATGCAAATGGTATCATTTAGTCATCACATGAAATGTCATGTTGTACTCACTGAAAGTGGGAACTGACTAGAGTAAGTTAAGACTTCAAAGAAATGCCAGGATATAGCAACATAACTTGGTCCTATATGTATAAGAAAAGCAAAATTCAATATTTGGTAGTTCATAAGGCGTACATACTTTGAACCTGCAGTTTCATCTTCCAGTGGTCCCAATTCTCGAGAAACTTTATCTGTCACATACACATCGCTATCTCTTGGTTCATCTTCATCATCGCTACTCAATACACAGCTGTCCGACTGTCGCTGGCTTCTTAGTCTAAGATTTCTCCTTTGTCGTTGATTCTCTGTAATTTAATTTTGGTAAGTTAGATGTAATCTCTCTCTCTCCCTGGAATTAGACTGTTTATAATCATGCATTTCAAAGCTGTAATGGTTCATATTTTAAATGGACCACATTCAGCTGGGTTAAAAGCAATCTTAAACAAACTAGTTTCCTAAATATTAAGGCTGAATAGTTCCAGGCATTGTGAATATTCTGCAACATATCAACACAAAACATTTGCTCTATTCACCCTCCAAACAACTAGAACATGATCTTAAAGATTCTCTGTGTCATAAGTTCACCCTACAAACAGCTAGAACATGATCTTAAAGATTCTCTGTGTCATAAGTTTCATATAGTTACACTACCTGTGAATAAGTCTCCCCTATAAAGGGAAGGTGCTCTCTCCCAATTCTTACTAACAGAGAATGCTATGATACTATGTTGAGGAATTGCGACAATTGCTGTGTGATATGAGAGAGAGAGAGAGAGAGAGGACTGAAGTTAAGTTTCCAAGTAGCATGGCAAGGTAGTACATACACAACAAAAAGGCCTGGTAAAACACAGAGAGTGCTTTGTTCAGAAAGTTTCAGAAGTGACAGAAGAGATGTTCAAATTTAAAAGGGTAAACTATGGAGTTGCTGTGGATGCTCACCCAGGTCTGATGCTAAACTGTTCCACTCTTTATCTGTGTTAAAACAAACAACCCCCCACTCAAAGGCATTTTCTATGAGTCTTTTTAAGAACAGTAGTTGGAAATTATCAAAATACTTTAAGCAGAGTCTCCTTAGACATTTTCGTCATCTTCCTCCTGAGTTAAGGTAATTTGCAAAAGGAAGTTATATTGCCCAAGACAAAAGGAGATAAAATATATTTAATTGCCTGGTCTGTAACATGCAAAGGTTAAAGAACTGCTGTTTGCATTTTAACAATTAGAAACGGCATGCAATAATTATCTCTGCATCTCCAGTGTACATGTAACAATGATCAAGCACAGATCAATTAAAATTACAGAAACAGACAGAAAATGAAAGTTCCTTCCTGCGTACGTATTCAGCTACAACTTCTATTGCAAATAGTTTTTACTTGCTCCAGCTTCATTCAGAGCACAGAATGATTACATTCTAAGTAAGCAGCTAATAACATACTAATACACCTCAGATATTATAATCAGAAGAAGGTCTGAAAGGTCTAAAGGATTAACTCCTTTATAGCTGTAACTATTATTAACACCTGAAGTAGAAAAAAAAAATTCACGCTTATTAGTACTTGTCAGTAGTAAATTTGAGGCATGTTATATTAGATAATGAAAGTGAATACTATGACCATAAATAACTTTCTTCTTTAGTTCCTTCACGGCAACACAGGTGAAAAAAAACCCTTTCAACAGTTTCTTATTCAAAGCAGAGATTCCAGTGCTAATCAAAATTATTACCAACTATGGGCTTACAGAACTTCTGTATTTGGGAAAGAAGAAAACATATTGTGAGCAGCTGTGATGTGTTTTATTTCAGATACTTTCGACAAGCTCTGACAGTGACTGTCAAGCCCGGGTTGGATCCATTCTCTCCAACACTGGCCACATACTTTAGCATTGTCCTTTTGCCTTTTGGTAAACGCAATTTCAATCCACGATGCTCAAGTCCATTGGAAAAGAAAAGAAAAAATAAGTTCAGGACAATTCCATTATCAATTGTAAAACGTCAACTCACCTTCAACAATCTTGCATCAACATATATGGGAAGGGAGAGAAAAGAAAATACAATTAGACTTTGGTGGGCACCCCTAGCGCTACATACAAACAGCAGCTAAGCTAAGCAATTACAACAAAACAAGCTAAGAATGGTAGGCTATCCCTCTCGTTTTGATTAAGAACGTGGAAAGCCGTAGTAAATTAGCTGCTGCTCTGAAAATAAGTAGGTGTTTGCTTCTGGTGCTGCTCATGCTGCTGCAGAGGGATAGAAATGGAGGCAGCTTAGGAACCATCTGAACACCCTCCTCCCTGCTCCCCAGTTTCAGTACCCTAATTTGAGTTAGGCCAGAGGAGATTCTTTCCCTCTTTCTCCCCCAAACAGGCCAATTCAGGTGAGAGATCCATAAACACTTCATATTAGATTAACAGCTGCTAAAGAAGAACAAAACAAAACAAAAAATCAACCCCAAACCTGCCATTGTCTTTGATTCAAGTAGGGCTGGGGCAATGCAGATTATGTCAAAGTTTGAGGTCTTTCTTTTGCAAAGGCTCAGCAACAATCCCAGCAGGAGATACCCCATGCTATTCCTCCAGCTTGTTTCTGGTTCTGCATGGCAGCAGTGGCATCCCAGAGCTGACGTTATAAACTACGCTCTGGATGGGATTTAATACTATTCTACCTTTAAAAATAGCAGTTAAAAAAAAAAAAAGTAGATTTTTTGTAAGATCTCTTGGCATAATAAACTGAACTAGTTTGAACCATGGTCACCTACTGTTGCACTTGGCATCTCTGACAGGAGAACATTAAACTGACGTTGCAGCTAAACACTTCATATTTGTGAAGTCAAAGACTTACTCCTTCAATTTTTATTTAAATCATTGGCCTACACCTTTGGTATATCTGGAATAACTTCAACTTTAAATCGCGTCTCCTTATGTTACATTACCCATGACTGGTATACATTCTCCCCAAGTTCTGGGGCCAAAAACTATTTGAGATTACCCTCTAACCATCTGCAAGTGCACCTCCAGAGCAGCTTCTGTGCTGTAAAAGCCTGTAATGCATGGCTTTCATGCACTAACAAGTCATCTTTGAACTTAAAGCTTATCTTTAAAGCCAGATTCTATCAGGGAGCACAATACAAGCTTAATTTGACTACAAGATTTAGATAAGTGTGCTATTCACTACTTACCACAACAGAATCATTGTGAGTTAGATCAACAACTACAGGCTCAGAAGATTCACACGTGAGATCTACAACTTCTTCACCAGCTTAAAAACACAACATTAGAGTCAAGATCAGAGACCGCAGAGGAATAAAATTGCCTGCCACTAGGTAACTGGCTTCTCTCTTCAGGAAGGTATCCAACATTTCGCTCAAGCTTTGCCCTTAATAGTCCACGTAGAGCATTACCACTACTGTCTTCTGCAAGTTGCAACGCAAGAGGAACAGCGGCTGAACTCCTCATACAGTTCTGCTGTATGACAAGAGCTTGTGGGAGGTACACAGCAACAGATTATTCACCTAACATAGGAGAATGTTTATCACAGGGGATAAAATGTCAATCATATAGGATATAATAATTTTACAGTACTATGCTGCAAATGTTCCTGTCTCATGTCTCATCCAACCTTTCACAGCCAAAAGCACAGCAAAAACTGAAAAACCCATATTACCTGGAGACCAACAGTTACTTTTAATCCTTCCTAGGACTTCAGAAGGCAATTTAAATATGTATTTAAAGCCTAAAAGAGGCTTTTTAAATTCTGATACTTTTTGTAAAAACATACTGACCAAGCACTGCATCTCTCTTGAGGGACAGGGTACGACTAATGACAAACTTTTAATTATCATCTTAAAACTTGGGAGTTCCCAAACTTAGTGTGCCATTATCTGTAGTAGCAGCTGCAGTAACTCCCAGCTCAACAGATTAGACATTCAGATATTTGAGCAGCACTTGAGTACCTTTCTCACACAACTAATCTATCACTAGTGGTGAATGTATTGCATCTCAGTACCAAACTAAAACAGCTGTCAGTAGGCTTGTTGTTCATAGATGCCATACTAGATGCGTTCTAAAATCAGAGATTTCCCTTCCTCTCCAGCAAAGTGCCTAGAAATTGGCAAAAATACAGGTTAAGTGGGACCCCAAGCCTCCAAAAGCAGTTTATATTCTTACCAAGTTAAAAAGAAAGCTTACCACTTTCTTCAAGTTCTATTGGCTCTGCTTCTGAAGCCATTTCTGCAGTAGAAGCCACCAGCCTGTTTCGTTTCCGAGCTTGCCTAGAATTAACTGCTCCTCCCCGGCGCTTTCGTTGAGTCTAAGAGAGAACAAAGCCTTAGCTTTTTCTTTAGGAGTAATATTAGCGTGGCCTTCACCTTTGCAGCACCAATGAAAGCACACAAGAATTCAGAAAACACTCCCCTGAAAGGCTGTAATATGCAAAGAATGGTGGCATGGGTCGTTCCTACCTGAACACATCACATCAAGGAAAAGATATTACCCCAGATCTCTTACCAGTTGGGTTACAAATAAAAAAACATATTGCGATGGTTTGCAAATGAGAAGACTAGTTCACAATTATATCATACGTTCACTTCCAGCCAACCATTGCAATCAGTCTGACCTAAGTTTTTTTCTCACATTGGAAGCATTTCTGAATTATTACTAGCACCTAGAGAGATTAAGAATCTTCAGTATCACAGAACATGAAGTTTTAATATGCTTATCCTCCAGTGTATGTACTACAAACTCTTAGAACTGTTTACAGAGGTACCACAAACAACATAACTTAAGAATCAGGTTCGCACTGAGTAGGAAAATACTTACTGTGCTCATGCTGTTTCTTGATCTAAAACTACGGAAAGAGAGGTACAAATACCAAAAAACTAATTGCAAGAAAGCTACAAGTATCAATTCCTTTAGGTAGCACACTGTTAGAAAATCCAGATTTCTCAGGGTCTGAGAACAACGTTCTTCCAAACCTGTAAGAAAAGGAGAGAGAAGATTACCTATATGTAATGCTTAAATACGCCCCCTCACCAAGATTCCCATTCTTGAGTCACCAGTTTCTGTCCAAGCTGGAGGGGAAGTCCCAGAGTTTGGCATTTGAGCCTCAGACACCTACAGCTGAGCCTGAAGCCTCAGTCATTTGTACCCATTTCCTTAACTAAACACCAGAATAAGCTAGTTTGTTAGCCAACTAGAAAAATACTAAGGAATCCCAATTAAGTTTAACTGAAAAACAACTGATTGACTCTCATGGCAATACTTCTGTGTGGGCAGGACACTGGGAATTGTGTCATAAGCTGCCATCTTCAGAGAACAAAAAGTTATATATAACTTTTAAGTTCTCTTCTCCATCCCATCTCCAGATTCCAACAGGTGGGAGCTGAACAGCTTCAGAGGAAGCTAAAGCAAGTGGAGCAGAGAAATTTCAGTTTTGAAATATGCACAGATCTGCAAGAGAATATGAGTTTACAGTAGCTAATCTGTGGTAACTGTGGGTGTGCATGCCCCTACCCACCAGACAGCAAACTGCTAAGTGGGAAGAGGTGAAAAGCAAGCATAATGGTGGTTATGAATAGCTAACATGGTACTGAAGTTTACATCTCAAAGCTTGCCTAACACACAATGAGGAGCTGGGGGGCAGGGGAAAACAGGGGAAGGATCAGGAAAAAAACAGTTGTATTAAACAAGAACTGCAAAAATGTCTTCCTTATACTGACCTTGACCTACACTGCAGAGACCAGCACACAGGCTATTAACCTATTATTCTCAGATTAGGAAACACTAAGACCACACAGAGGGATAGAATGGCACTGGTGGTCAATCACAACCCTGAGTTAAAGGAAGCCTGACTGACTTTTTTCCTCTTAAATTTTCTCGTATCACTTTCTTAAGAGACCCATTAACACTGAATTGTGACCTTACTAAAAGAAAACGTGCTTGAGAAAAAAGCCTTATGCTGTTTGATACTTTTATTAAGTCCAAAGATATATTTATGCACAGTTTTAACAACAACAGAAGATCTGTCATGCTCAGACCACCTTACCCATGTTAAATATTCACACACTTCTTTACCAGGATACCAAGGAACCGATTATTTATAGGATTACTACGACATGACTCAGAGGATCTAATTTCAGACCTCAAAGGCAACACAGGATAGAGCCACTTCTTGAACTAAGTGACAGAGAGCACCATTGCTATTTAGATGGTTTAATTTTCAGAATCTTACAACATTGGCAGTAGGCTTGCTTTATACTTAATACAGAGAGTAGGGTACAAATGCGCTAGTGACTCAAATCTTAATGTCTTCAGAAGCTTCTGAAGAAGAAAGTTGAGCATGGATACCCATAAGGAAGCTCACCGTAAAACCACCTTAAAATAAATCATCATAGGCAGGTTCATCAATATCAACACGACCCAGCTCAGGAGAGTCATTTTTTAAAGAAAATCAGACTGCTGAAATTTATTAAGACTATGGAAGGTGTCTCATGACCCAGCAATATTTTTTTTCTTGTACAAACAAACCTCTTCTGTGGGGCTATAGATTTCCACATGTTATTGGCCTACTTGTGAAATTTCACTCAAAGTTAATTACTTGAACTGTAAGAATGGGTAGCAGAAATGAGGCAAAGCTTACTTTCTTGAATACACCACAGACCAAGTTAGTAGTGCACAAGAACAGAGGTAAACAAAACAGTTTTGCACATTTGGAGACATATTCATCATTAAGAATTCCTTAAAGATTTTCCAAACCTCAGGACACTCAATTTAATGATATGATTTGTTATACAGGACTGGATAGCCCAAATAAGTGATAAGGTCTATATGCTCCTCCTTCAGCAGTCACTATGAAACCTGGCACCAAGACTCCCAAGACTGGATAATACAGAGTTACTGCATCAACCTCCTGCATTCAGACATCAATTTAAAGTTCTAGAATTGAGATTTTTTTTTTAATGAAAAAAAAAAAGAAGTCTTTTTTTAAATGTGTAAACTTCGCAGATCAACTTAGCAAGCCAATAAACACTTTTAACTTTTACAGACTTTTTATTGCGTCACTGCAGGATGACACCATACCAGAAAAGCCACTCCTCCTTCCTCTCATACACAGAGCTCTACTCATGCAGTTTTTATTCTTGTCATTTACCTCTCCCAAGGGCGTAAGTAGTGTTGTCCTCATAACAACAAAGTTCAAGGTTTATTCTAGCTAACTCACTGACATTTTAAGGACTATATCCACCAACCTTCCTCAATATAGGTAGACACTTGAGAAAAATAAAAGTAAAGTCATCTAAATTAAGAATGTTAACATTAGGAGTAAAAGAAAAATTATGATTATGGGACTCAATAAAGCCTCCTGTTAAATTTTTTTCCTCTATAGAAAAGTTAATATTTTCACTCAGTTCAAGTTGACCTAATTTAATGTTTGAATTACAATTCTAAAAACATAGATTCTCTAGAAAACATAAACTGAAAACTTTTCTTACACCACTCTGAAAACTAAGTTTTAGTTTCCCATATGCTTAGCACAAATTGAGGCAAATTAGCTTAAGCAAGAAGTAGACAGTTTTACCATGTCTCACTAACACAAACAAGACTTTACTTCATAATCATCCCAAACATTACAAATATGCTAATGTAACTAATTGAACAAAACAATAATTTCAGTCTAAATGTTTTGTGTGTGCAAGGCACAGGTGACAAAAACAGTATACATTTGTCATGGTTTAGGCTGAACTGGCCATTGTGTGAGCAACAGATGTTCCCTACTACCTCTCTTCAAAGAGAGAGGCAGAGGAGGGAAAAGGAGACTTATGAGTTTAGAAGGAACTAAATTATAATGAAAAACTAATAATGAAAAGGAAATAATGAAATATATACAAAACCAGATCAAGTTCCCACGATGACAATCACGTCTCCAGCAGGCACTGGGGAAGTCCCAGACTGGACTCAGTAACAGATGGGAACTGGATTCCGGATGGTGATCAAAGGCAGACAAACAGACAGAGTCCTCCTCAGACACCGGCCACTGAAGAGAGGGCACTGACCCTTTGATCCCTCAGCTTTTATACGGAGCATGAGGCAGATGGGATGGAATACCCTGTTGGTCAGTTTTGGGTCACCACCGCTCCTCCCACAAATGGGACCCCGCTACACTTTTCCGCTTCTGACCCCCCAACGGAGCAAGGAACAAAGCGAGCTGACCTTGGGTGTTGTAGCAATAAGTATAAGCAAGAGCCTCTCTGCATACCATTCCTTGGCATCAACTATAAACGTAGATCTTATCACTCAGAGTGAACAGTGTCTGCACAATATGCTGTTAATTTCAGTAGTTAGAAGAGGCCCAGCTAAAAAGTAAAGTCACTGAACAAAACTGGTCCCGTTTTACCTCAAACCAGGGCAATATTCTATTTGTCAAAACATTATATGCTATGCCTTTAAGACTTTGCTTCTCATTTCCACTCTTAAGACTTGTCTCTGCACTCCTAACAACAGGAAACACAGTACCAAAGATGCAAACACGTATAAAAAAAAATTGTGGTCAGAAGATGCACACATCAATCACAAAGTGCTAGTCTTAATTTTTTTTTTATCACAGGGCACAGTAACGTCCCGTGTTACTCCTTCACCACTTTCCTATCATGTATTTCCAGTACCTTTAAAGACATTCTCGTTTTTTCAGATGCATTACAACAACTTTAGTGAAAACAGATGCCGAGTCTATTATGTTTTATCCAAATTAGGTCAAGCAGTCCCATTCTACAAAAGCTTGGTGAGAGGAGCTGTAAGAGTAAAGATAAGAGATAAATAACCTACATACTACCCTACCTACTCTAAGCAGTCTGCTACATCTACAGACAAATATGTTTATGAGCAGCCTAACCAAAACAACAAAACAAAGAAGCTAAGAAAACACCCAGAGAACAAAACACACCCAAAACTTTCAGTTGGCCAGATGTTCTATTTCAGAAACAACAAATAAAGATGAAGACTGACCACAAGAAAAGCTCCTCATTGCTCTTATGTGCAGTAGTTTCTTTGAGAGAGGCTACAACTTACTTTCAATAGTCCCCAAATCACATAGACAAGAAAGGCAAAAGAAGTTGAGTGTTTTCATGTCCTGTAGTGGAGGCATAGGGAGGTGCTGAGGTTGGAGAGAAGTGTTCTCTCCGCTCCTGATGTCACACAAAATGGGAGGACAGACCAAGAACTTCACGCAGCTACACCTATCACATGCACCGGGCCACTCCTGGTCCTCCAGAGGAGAGGGGCAATGCCCTCGTCTCTTCTCCAGCACCTTCCCCTCTCTCAGACACTTCAGGACACCCTCTGAACGGCCCTGGCAGCAAGTGCAGTTTACCACCCAGGGAGCACCACAAGAGGCTGAGCAGCCCGTCCGCAGGGACCGCCTAGTCTCGCTTTCGAGGCGATACGGGGCAGAACAGGGCCGCAGGCCCAGCTGTCCCCCGGCCCCGAGCGCTGCCGGCCGCCCGGCCATGAAGG